TTTCATTTACATTGCTATCGACGAAATTAACGAATTTTCCCTAATTATTATAATATTATTGAATAGATATTGTTTTGTGAAAAGCAGCAACGGCGGTGATAATGTCGCAGTTTTATTAACACATCGTAAACGCGATACATGCGTAAGTTTTAACAATGGCAGTCTCTCCATACTTGCGTATATACAGCCGACACCCTTTACACGTTCCCCTTGCGGGAACGCGACGTCTCCATGGTTACAACATTGAAACCCCGCTGGGGGATGACAAAATGGAGAGGCGCAATACTCGGCCCGACAAAAGCGAAGTAGAATCGAAGAACGCCGTCGACTACGTACCCGTATTTGAAAAGTCGATTTCTATATACAAAGTGCTCCACGTAGTCGCACTTCGCGATAATGCACTCGCTGATAATTAAAGTCAACCCTATGGCGGGAACAGTATAGCACTTTAACGAATCAATTCGTCGAAGGTGACTTTTTTCCAGGGAGATGTCGATTTAACGATCGTCAATTAATATCTTTCTTTTTTCAAATCTTTATGTTTAACGGGTGTATTGCATATTTTTAATGATGAGAATATTAAGCAAACGATACGCAAGTGTAAACGAAACGACTCTTCTTGATATTGATCGAAAGTATAATTTATTATATTTTATAATAGATAAGTAACAATGCTAGTATATAGAGATTTTATTATTTTATTATGAGAAACAGTAACGATTATTTTCCACGAGTCAAAATCGAGTTTGCTAATGTCAATAGTTTAACGTTAAAATATGAAAGAAAATATGAAAGAACGTGAGATAAATATCGTTGAAACGATATCGCACAATGTCGATGGGTTACGTGACCCGACACAATTAGAGGTTGCGAGGCATTTCATTTTCTCACGCCTGGCATTTCTAGAGTTGTTCTCGCGAGAGAGGCGAAAGAGGGAACGAGGAATACGTTTGCAGAGCAATCGTGTTTCATGTTGTCGACAACGCGAGCCAGGTGAAGATCACATCGTGATTCACGCGGTCTCCCGATGGTACCCGCATTGACACTATCTGTCATCGGAGACGCTTCAAATCACGACTACGGTCGCACGAAACGCGGAACGTCACGTTCCTCGACGTCCACCCCAATCGGAACAATTCATACGATCGTATCTTCACGCTGCAACGACACGATCGTCCCTAGGTGATCAATATGAGAGAGGTATCATAGAAATATTCTCTCATTCTTTCACAGAATGGACGAATCGTGACGAGTCATGATAATCCAACTCCCTTATAATTTATGTCGCGTATATTGAAAAATGAATTTGGTTCGACCTGACAACGGACAACTAAATGTGTTTTGATTGAAAGAAACAAAATTTCTACTTCCCATGAACGAAATTTGATTCTCGTACCCGAAAATTCCGTTTCCTTCAAACAGAACGCGTTTGGTTGTGCAGTATCAGGTAGATTCAATCAAACTCATTTTCAGTGTAAAAAGCTATATAGATTAAAATCTTATCATTTTACAATTTTCATATTTTTTAATTTATCTGCGTTATTTGTCACGATTGTAATTACTGTGTCTTAAGAGCTTGACGGAAGTTAGCAGAGCAATTTTTGAAAAGCCATCGAATTCAAATTATCGAGTGTTACCCGCCGACAACATGAATATTACATTCATTATCACGTGTTTTTGACAGCTCCAGTTTGACAGGGTGGCACCTGGAGGCATGGAAAACTTGCATGGTAGCTGTAAACAAAGGAGGATCGCCGGAGAAAATGGCTCTCTCTACCCGTGGTATATAGAAGCGTCTAATCCCGGATGAGACGACGGATGTACGACCACGACGGCGACGACGGCGTCGGCGGCAGCGACGGAGACGGAGGAGGTGGGTGCGGGAGACGGCGCAGACACATCTCTCGGATTACGTCTTAACAAGCTCCACGACGTTCATTTGTCTTATCCGCTGCCGCTAATGCGACAGCAGCTGTTGAAATGATTAATTCGGCGCGCGAGGATGCCGCGCAACGCGTCGCTGGGCGAATCCGCTCTCTCTTGGCTTCGCAGACGTGTCGCGGTTAATCAGCGCATTGCGATTAATCACCGCCACATTCGCAGTAAATACAAAACCGAACGAACGAATAGCTTCGGCGGGTGTAAACAAGTTCCGGGCGAAGATGGAAGTGCAAAGCTATCGGATCCGGAGCGGAATAGCGAATTCGTCGCCTGGCGTGTAATTCGATGTAACAATCATTTACACGTCTGAGCTATTGTTTGTAAAGACTTTGCGGAGTCTCTCACGTCTTGTCATTACATTGTACAGTCGGCAGATTGAAGGTTGCAACACTTTTTTTCGATGACTCTCACAACCCGTGTTGAATAGGAAAATTATCTTGTGAGATTCGAGATTTTCTGAGAGCAAGTTTTTTCGCAACTTGTCGGTTCTTATAGACTTTTTTTGTACCGATTGTAAATCTTGAGAGAGCCTATACTACATTTTTATCTTCTAAGAAACAAATTTTCTTATTGGACACGGGATGCGTTGCGAAACTCGTTGAAAAAAAATGTGGCAATCTTTAACCTACCGTCCGTACTAGGCTATTTTAGACTCAAATCAGTTTTACGACGAGCTCTTTATTCTCAATCGCTCACATCTCGAAAGCTGTCGGTACTTCGACATTTTCGTAAAGGGAAGTTTGACTGGAAAGAGTAATCCGTTGATCCGAGACACGTTCTACGTCAAGGTACGTGCGTCGAACGTAACCGATCGACTTCAGCGATGATGGAACTGGGTTTGTTAGGCGTTCTGTAAAAAGCTTGATTGGAACTCAATCTAATCTCAACCGTTGATAACCTCGCGATAATGATGCAACCATGACTAGATTCCACGGGCGAGGTGTTCGACCGCACGATCGCTCCATCGCTCCGTAGGGCTCCTAGGTGGAGATCTCCTACATCCGCCGTACTCTGTCCAAATAGACGGAGCCCGCTCGTGCGTCTGCACGCGCGCAATCCGATTGGATTAATTTTCAATTTGCAAAGGCCACCTGTCGTCGACAGCGGCGGACAGGCGGATCGGCGATCACGCCCGCCGATCGATGACTAATCCGCGAGACAGCGAGAGTCCACGCGACTCGCCCCGGCTGCGTCGGAGCGGGCTCCCGATTAGGCTTGCGCTCATGAGAACAAAGAAGCGACAATTGCGCGACTCGTCGCGCGGATATAGGGTTACACGGGCGCGCGGATAAAATGAGCGGCGAATATTAAGTCGGCGCGCAAAATGGCCGACGCGTGCTCCGGTAGTCGGGCGAGGAGAAAAAAATAGGGACGCGCTCGTTTCTCTTTCTCTCGCTTCTTCTCACACGCAACGAGCGAAGATGAGCGTGACGGACCGTTCGCTCCGCGCCGCTCGGCGGCGTTACGACGTGACGCGGGTCGAAATTTCAGCCGGATCGGGACCGCATGCGCGACGCGCGCCGATCGAAAGCCCCGCCCGGAGACTGCCTTTGTTTAATCCACGCGGTATCTACGCCCACAGTGTGACAGTGGTGTAACCCGAGGTCCCGTGTAGACCTCGTGAGCCTGTAGAAAAGTCTCTGTGACGGAAAAGAAACGGTTTAAAAATCGGGCATAAATAAAAAATATGTAAAAATGAGAAAATAAGGAAAAGAGGGAGAGAGAAATACAGAGAGATATTAAGTTCAATTGTATCATCTGCTACGAGGTCTTTGAAATTTGAATAACGAAGTTACTTCTTCGTTATTTATCTTTTTCATTATGGCATTTAATTGCATGATTTTGTGTCACGTTTTATATTCTTTATACGCATTGTTATATATATATCTGAGATGATCAGATATATGAAAGTGAGATGAAAAGTACAGTATAAAAAACAGCGGAATTTTCCTTGCTATGGGTTTTCTAAACGTTGATTACGTCATCGTTCACGCTGTAAGCGGCCAATAAGCCGACGATTAAGTTACTACCCTGTCAGCGAATTTTCGATAGCTTCTAATTTTGCTCTAGAGACGAGGAATATAAGATGACTCGTTTTATTTTCACAATGAGCGATTGCTTGCAACGTTATTTGCCTCATCGGAAGTCCCGTAATCGGGAAATTGAAGGAAGAATGAGATAAATCCATAATTCACGAATCCACATTTAAAAACTACTTTATACATGAAATGCAGCTTACGAACTGCGAACTTCTATATTTCCTTCCAATAAATTACTGAATAAAATATGAGGATTGGCGAATGTTGGAAAATTGATTCGTGGCCCTACGAAGCTACAACTGGTAGCGTGGCCGAGCGGTCTAAGGCGCTGGTTTAAGGCACCAGTCTCTTCGGAGGCGTGGGTTCGAATCCCACCGCTGCCAATTTTTTTGCACCAGTCGAATATAAGTATATTTTTACGCATTAAAAAATGACGATCATCTTGTTAAAAGATCTTCAACGCAACGTTTTTTACGAGCTATTGACAGCTTTATGAGAATGTATCCGTTGTAGATAAATAGTTGGCATTCGATGTCACACGATTGTGTCGATAAAACAGAATACGCAAGGCTCTCTCGGGGGAAACATTTAAAAAGTACTAATAACAATTGTTTTTCTTATAGAACGCGATGAGACATATGCCGATTGCGGAAGTGCCAATTATATGCAAAAGATATACATAAGAGTATTTCATGAATTTTATATTATCTGTATAAATATAAGTAACAAATTGGAGAATATAAATTGAAACAGACGGCTTTGAGTGACGCCGGTCTTGAATGTGAATTAGCAGAATTGCGACAAAATCTATGTTTCACAACACGTACCTACGAAACTAACATTTCAGACGGAGATAAGATACAAATATAAATCTCGATCTATGATTGGCATCCACGGAAGAGAAGATTACTCGGTTCTGAAAGTGTGTGAGTCACAGACTTGTTAGAATACACGTCTCGCAATCATGAAGATAAATATAGCTATAAGCTATCGTACGTCTCACTGGCGAGTTGAAGTGAGACAGCGCGTGTACAGTTCAATAGCAGTCCACAGTTCAACAGCAGTCGCCTGACGATTTAAACTTTCCACAAGATACTTCGTACTACAATCTGGTAAGAAAATGTAGTTATTAATTACGTGTACTGGGCTGAAATCAAAGCGAGTGAATGGGTCCGGAGTCGATGGAACGTTTCTCAAGAATGGAGCCTCCGAATAACATTTTCGAATTGCACGTTGTATCACTTAATAATACAGCACGTGACTAATTTCTTTCTGTTGCACGAATTACTATATCTCTCGATCTACGATAACAGATGTACACGATTTTCGTGGACTCATTGATTCATATTTTTTCGAAATAGAACGCATGACCTTATATAACATGTTAAAATGATCTTTCCCAAAATTAAAAATTGTAAAATGTAAACTAATAGAAAATTATAATTATTTTTAGTGCCAATCATATTTTATAACAGTAGCAATATCTATGTAAGATTATTTTCACTGTAGTAGCATTTACTAGAAAAATGGCTTACCTATTTTTATCTTAAAAATTAAATTAAAATGAAACAGGTTAAAATAAAATAAAAATAAAAATAAATAAAAATAAAAAAGTGAGTATAGTTTGCACCGAAAGTAACTATAATTTTCTATCAGTACGACCGGTGCGAGAATATTAGCAGAATGAAAACGCAGAGGAAGTGTCGCGGCTACATCTCCCAGCTCATAATTTTCGCGCTTCTCTATTTCACTCTGCTCTTTTTTCAGCGATTATTTCACCGCTATCGGAACTGCCGGTCATCAGTGATGATGGATCTATCGATGTCGAAATGTCACGCTTGCGAAGAAAAATGCGCCTGTGGAAGAAACTCATAAACACATCCTGGGACACATCGGCGTGTCTGTTTTCCAAGCGATAGTCTGCGAGGACAGATTCGGCAGAGAGATACCTCATCGCGGTGGCCTCCGCTCTCATACGATCGAGAATTCCAGCCAATCGTACTCGCTCCGCCAGTAGACAGTGATAACGTACAAATCCACGCCAATGAACCGCTAGATACCGATCTTCATCGCGATTCATTGCGTCGTCATTCTAAGCGTGTAATTCGTTTAAAGCTGTGCGCTGAGAGAGTTCGATTTTTCACTGTCAGTGTCGTATCGTCGTGATTCCATGAGCGATCAACACTCAATTTCATCATCAGTGCTACTGTATCTGAAGAATAGCGAGAAATTCGAAAAACTCGGTTGCGAGGTCGAAAATATTGCGTGTTTGAATCGAGGACTATCACATCCAACGATTGAGATTCATTGATACTGTGCAAAATTACGTTGAATCTCTGAGAGAACTCGGGAAAATCCCGAAATCCGAAACGCGTGCGACGTCACGGCGACCCGGAGCGTGATATCGCGCGCGCTCTTTCTCTCTCCCTCCGTTTCGCACGCGTGACGAGACGCACGTGTCGTCGACGTGCGTACACACAAGCGCTCGGGTACTTCAGCCTTGTTGTTTGTACAGAAGACATTTCGAGTGTCATCACAAGAAGCGGAACAGGTTCCCGTCGGGAGTCCCGCTCGACGCAGTTACACCGGAGCACCGGACTCCGATCGCGTCCTCGATTCCTCGATCGCGACCGAATGATCATCATGGACGACAGGATCGTGCGCGCATCCACGTTCGAGACGATCCAGCTGCACTTCTTGTCCTTCGTCTACGGCCTTTACTTGATCGCCAAGAGGCTGCTCAAATGGGCATGGGATCCCAAGAAGTTTTTCGTGCTGCGCCAACGGGACCGGCCGCCGACGTGTCTGATCGACAGCAGCTTCGGCACGCATTCCTACGTGAAAATCAAGGTGAGGTGAAGTATTCTACCGAGTGGATCGCGTTCGATCTTATGACGTCGACGGGTGGCGTGAATAAATATTCACGCGAGATATGAGCGGATAAGTGTATTTCTTTGTGACCCCAACGATAACTCGCGATGGCACCACGGCAGGTTCAACAGGCTGCACTCGAAACGCGTCTCTGTGGTGGTTTCAAGATCGCTGCCGCGGAACACTCGCAGCGATATCGGGGTTTGTGTCTGATATAACCGGAGGATGCAATGTAAGAATGTGTGGGCGGGTGTTTATTATCTGTAAGAATTATTTACGCCGACACGGTTTACGTTGGAAGCGAAAAATATAAGACTTCTTCATTCCTGTAGCGAAGCCTTCGGGTCTTCGACGATCGTCGGACAATGGAGTCGAATTGTTCGCGTCATCTCCGAGCAACGTTAATTATAACGATGTAATTTAATCAAAGCGAATTGAAGATATATCACAGTCTGATATGGAATCGTAGCGCCGGGGCCTCACGTCGTGATATCGGAATGTCACGAACGCAGATGACACTCGGCAACGTTCAAAAGAATAAATCGTTGCATAAAGCGCTTGGTTTACAACATCTCGACCGGGGAACGGCCTTTGCGATAAGCGACTATATTTAATTGATATTTGTTTCCTTTTCTTCAACCAATTCGGTATGAACCTCCGATATTAATTATCAGAATAGATCTGAGTGATACAAGTTCGATGTACATTAACATGCTGTGTATTATATATCACAGTACATATTACGTGTAATAATAGCATACAGGGTGTCTCTGACGCAAGCAATTCCTGTTGTATACTTGTAGGTCAATATGAACAAAAATCTTCTATCAATTTGCAAACAACCACGCAAAAGTTTTAAGTTATTAATTATTGAAAATGGCCGTGTACAGAGGCTTTTTAATTAATAATTCAAAAATTTGCGTGGTTATTTAAATGTAAAGAACTTTTTTTACTAAGAACGATCTAATCTAATCTAAGGTCTTATCTAGAGATAATATAATAGTTATTGTGCCTAGTAACAGAGTGAGCGATAGAGTGACATAAGTATATTGAACCTTGAACTTTTATAAGTGGTTTCTTTATAATAATAATAATAAAATATCTATATTATTGTAATAATTCGCTACAAGTCTTACTGTATATTTCGTATGCGCAAATGTTCCATTGACCTTGTCGCGTGAATTTCCCCGCGAAAGTTAACGTATTTGTCTTTCAAATGGCGAGTGCAATCCAATTAAGAAATAGTATCTGTGAAATGAGCAATTATAAATTCATTGTGTCTTTTTATCCGTAAATTTAAAAAATACGACGATATCGAATTGTTTAGTCTGAAAGGAGGAGACTTTCGACCAGGAAAATTTGTGAAGACCATATTACACCATAGAGAAAATTATGAGTCGCAATACCGAAAGTTGCATTTATATATGGAAGTCTGATTTGACTTGTGATTCACGTGACACGTTAAAACACTTATTGTAATCGACGCAACGATATCGTGACTTTGCATATTAGATAGTGCATATTCGCTATATCAGTAATGATAAGAAAATAAGTTTCGCAATGGGACTATTGACTAACTGACCTGTAATGCATGTGACATACTAAAACACTTATTATAATTGCACGATATCGTGACTTTGCATACTGGAGAATAGTAAAACAATTAAATATTGTGTACGCGAATGAAAACAAGCAAGAAACGTAGATACTTATTTTTCTGTCGTTCAACATGTCTTTCCCTTTCTTTTGATTGCAGGGAGTTAAGTTTCATTACGTAGAGGCGGGATCCAAAGATAAACCGCTGGTGTTGTTGTTGCACGGATTCCCGGATTGCTGGTTATCCTGGCGCGAACAAATCCAACGTCTCGCGGGACATTACAGGTGTTTTTTGCCGACATTCTACGAGATATTATGTAACAGTCTGATGTGTCGATGATAACACACATTTCGCGCTGTTTCAGGGTAGTGGCTTTAGATTTAAAGGGATTCGGTGATAGCGATAAGCCGTCCAACAAGCGATCTTACAAAGTGGACATCATAATAGACGAATTGAAGCAATTCATTTTGGCTCTCGGGGTGAAAACGTGTAGTATAATCGGCCATGATCTGGGAGGGCTTCTAGGGTGGTACATGGCTGCTCTGCACAGGGATCTCATTTACAAATTTATCGCTATTTCCAGCCCGCACCCTAATCTCTATTGGAACAGAGTGTCAGGAAACTTCACGTTGGATGGGAAGTGAGTGCATTTACGAATATTTCCTGGATTATATCTATTGTATAACAATTTCCGAAAAGATATTCCGGATATTATATATTATAATCACGTTCTTTAATTGAACAAATAATTTCGCAGGTGGATACATTTTAGCAGATTGCCATTTCTACCGGAAATAGACGCACTTAAGGAAGACTTATCGATCATCAATGATACGTTTCAACATCTTCAGATATCTCGAAACGAACCTGAGAAAAATTACGTTGAAGCATATAAATACACTTTCAGCAGAAAAGGTTAATCTTCACATAACGTATTCTTCTTCGCAATCGTATCATTATTCTTCGCAATCGCTCTTATACGTATGAAAGATTAAAACTGTGTTTCGTAGAGGACTGGACGGGACCGATTAATTATTACCGCAATTTCCCCTTCACAAGATTGAATATAGAGGAACAGATTGACAGCAAGACGCTGTTGATAGTCGGAAATATGGATCCCTCTATTACGATAGAAACTATTATCGAAAGTTCCGCGTACGTAGAGACGTCCAGTGTTAAAGTTATACCAAATGCGCAGCATTTTCCGCATCAGGAGAAACCAGACGCCGTAAATAATGCGATCATCAAATTCTTGACAGGTAAGTTTTATTTTACCCAATTCTCTCTCTTATATAAAATCTCTCCTCTCTTTTTTATATAAAAAAATATATTCGTCGAGCACAGAGTGTACGTAACAATGTATCTTATATTTCTACATATGATTAAAGAAATATTATTGCAGGCACAACGAATGTTGTGGAGAAGGCACCCTCTAAAAGTATTGTGTCCTCTTGGTTAGGATCTTTAAGTAGCACTGTTAAGTATGGAAATCAGATGTTCGACGCTGTACATAAGCGAACTAACGGCGTGGTGAGTGTATTACCTAACAAAAATATTTTATTCGGCTCCAACAACAAGTTAGGCGTTGTTATTTAGTATCAGCATATTAGAGTTTCTCAGACTTTACACCTCATACCGAACAATCTAGATATCCTACCTGCTAATGCTGACGCACAAAATTTGCGAAAGGCTAATTTGAACCTATACATTAATTTATTTCCTTTTTATACGAATATGTTATCACAACAAGAGTTGCAATGTTTTTTTTTAATGATGTAACATTGTTACATTCATTCATTGTTACAGTCAAGATTTCTATTCACTTTTGCGCAAACGCTATCATATTGTCTTACTTCGAATTTTTGTATATATTCGAGTTGAGATCTGTACACGTGTGATGAAATCAAATTGTTATCATTGCATATAGCTATTACTTGGAAGCACGAATACTCTCGAAATCTTAGTTGCGATATAATACGAAGGTTCCGTTGTTTTAATTTTTAGTGAAATACTGATACATCTGATAGAATAATCTATTGTTAATTATGTGTGATATCTATCTATCTATATATATATAATAAGCTAATATCTCTCGTCTATATTAATTTGTAATTTACAAAGTATCTTAAGAAAGAGTGTATTACTATGACATATATATAAAATATCTTATTATGTTATAGTAATACATGTAGAAATTGTACATTAATTGTGCGTAGACATTGCAGCAACGAGTAAGTTCAAATATTTTGCTGCATATTCGAATCTCAAATAGACATTATGTATGCCCATTGCGAATATTGTTTTTGTAATAATTTCGAACTTTAAGAGGTAATATTGGTAAGTTAATTTGCGGAAATATACATTGTTAATACAATGTGAGTTAACCGCAAATATATGTTGTATTTGTAAAACTTTTCAATAGTATAAAATTTTAATATTATAACGATATATATATACACAGTAACATAGTATAAATTATGTACGAAAGTTTCCTTTCTCTTTAAGCACAGAATGTTTCAACATTGCGGAGAGGATATTAGAAAAAAAATATAATAAATTATTACCAATCTGTCTTTTGCATAGACAAAGCATTAGTCTGCTAACACAGACTAACCAGATATAGTTGAATTTTAAGGCACTATTCCAATATTTGATTTCACATGGTGGTCGAATTACAATTGTGAAAGGTATTATATACTATTCAATACGCATTCAGTATATCATCACATTGATATATCACATTTTTTACATTCCTTCCTGTAAAAATAAACAATACTTATTAGCATAAAAAGTAGTTTGATATTGGCGAATGTTTATAACATTGTAACGGAATTATTTAATCACTTAAATAATTATTTAATTATTAAAACACACGCGACACACATACTTTCCAAAATTTTCACCGTCTTCTATGGTCTCTGGCAATTCACAGTTCATGGTCTCTGGTAAAAAAAGACAGAACATGGCGCCTATTATTGGTCCTACGCCAAATATTACTGGAGGTATCCACGATTGGATATTACCCTATACAAAATTATCGTGTTTGTGTTAATCATTGAAAACATATAACGCACAAGAAGTTTCATCATTTGTCATGTGGGTGTGATCAATGTACAAATTGTTTTTGTTATAAGAAGCACATTGTATGTAATGAACATTATAATATACAAGTTGTCAATTACCATCGTGGCGATGTACGGTGCGATAATACTTCCGATCCTGGCGGCGATACTTCCCAGGCCAATGCCGATGTTCCTCACGACAGTCGGATACACTTCGCCGCTATACAGGTATATCGTGGGGAAACTGATAGCCGCACCTACGAGACCGAACGAAGTTAAAAGCACCCGGATATTCGGGTTGGCTATCAGAGGTATCAAGAGCAGGCTTATGCCGGACAGGATGTTTCCACTCATCAAGATCTTCAGGCGGGAAACTCGTGAGATCAGAAACAGGACTATCACGGTTCCCGGCAATTCCATGGCGGCTGAAACGTCACGCAGACATTATACTTTACACGATACGAGAGAAACGATTCAACGGGCGTGGAAGCTACGTCAATTACCCGAAACGGCAATATTGATGAAAATATTGCCGTCGATATGACCCAAGTATTGCGACAGCCCGAAGAAGTAGCTGCCGCAAAAGAACCAGTTAAGCGCCACGCATATAGTCTTCAATCTCATATTCGGAGTTCTGAATAAATGTGTGATATTGTATTTCTCGTTACTTTTGCCCAGTCGGATCGCCGCCTGACTTTCATGAATTTCGAGGGCTAACTTCACATTCTCCACCGGTATCTTGTTCCGAGCGGCAGCTTTCAGCATAATCTGTTCCGCTTGTCTGGACTTACCTACGACTAACAACCACCTCGGTGATTCTGGGATGACCCTATTTCGCAAAAAAAATCCATTAGTTCCTCATGATTGCTTTAAGTGTAGTAAATATTGTACGATTTTTTTACGTCTTTCAGTGTGGTAAATATATTACGAATTTTATACTCTTAGCGAGAAGTAATTTGTTCGGTGACACTAAAAGCGAGAAAACGTATTGCCTAGAATTGTTCAAAGATAGTGGGTAGATAGAAAAGATATGCCTACAAAATAACATTTGTGATCGTTTCGACGCGCTTGTAAAATATTCCGAAAACTTTCCTCTTGTATATCTTTTTATTTGAACATACGGACAGCACACAATATTTATAAAATATAGATATTAAATATTTTTTAAATATTCAAATGTCCGGGAAAGTCAGATATGAGAAAGATTGTGATAAATACTCAAAAATATTCTTCATAAATATCTTTGAATATTTATCACAATCTTTCTCATATCTGACTTTCCCGGACATTTGAATATTTATAAAATATTTAATATCTATATTTATGAAATATTTTACAAATATTACGTGTTGCCTGAAATATGCCGCATGAATTCTGGACATGGATTTCCTCGCTTCTGACATTATTAACAAGACGGCCGCAGCACAGGAGCCTTAATAACACACATAATTGCTGCACGTACCAATAATATGTTAATAGGAAAATGGAAGGTATCGAGATGGCCATTTGGAAGCCGGACCACGTCAGTGTTAAGTAAGATATTAACGGGTTCATAAGATGCCCGATCAAGAATGGCACGTGAAACAGGACCGACATAGTCGACCGCCATTCAACCCCAACAATCTCCATAACTGCAATCAATTGATCGATTAATTTCATTCGTATAGAGGCGCGCCACGATATCGTTGTGACGACGCGTTAGACTTACGTAAAACGAAGCTAACAAGCATTGTGCCGCCAGTGGCCAAAGCGGAGATGAATTTCAGCATTATGAACAATTCGTACCACGGCGCGAACGCGCTTGCGAATCCCGTGACCGACTGTAATGCAATTGCGATCATCAACGGCTTCTTCCGGCCGATTCTGTGCAAATGGAGAAAACAAGGAATGAGAGGGAGACATGGATATGTATATAATTGCTATAAGCTTGCAGCATTATAATCTTTTATTTATATGATCCAGGATTGGGTAACAATTACTAGTAGCAATACTAATTACTCAGTTAAAAATTAACAAATTAGTAACTTTCAACTTAATCAATTTATATAAACCAGTTAATTTATCAAATGCATTAACTTTAACTTATTAACTTTTTTTTATACAAGATAAAATAATTCACCAATATTAAAATCACTCAGAATAATTAGTTTTATATATGTTCTTTAAACATATGTAATATAATAATATTATAATATTTAAACATATATAATACGATTATGAAATGTTACATTCGTTTAAAGAACGTACATGAAACTAACATGTGCATTGTGAGCGGCTTATAATATAAAGTAAGAAAAATAAAAAAATGCCAACAAATATTTTTGGTCTCCTTCAACACTAGCTGCACAAAACAGTCGGTGTTTTTCTACAATAGACTACTTTTTCTTTGTTTAGCATAAATTTAATCTATGATGAAAAAATTAATTATGCAAAAATGCGTGTATATACAGTGACGGACATATACTTACGTACAGTTAGGAAAATTACATTTTATTCGTTGTGTACTAATACATGAAATAGTTAAACAAATGTCCATTACGTTTTTTACAAGTTTAGCATATATTATGACATAGTAAAACAGCATATATTATGACATAGTAAAACATAGTAATAACATATATTATGACATAGTGAAACATAGTAATATATTATGACATAGTAAAACAATGTTTATCGATTTACAATAACTTAGAAATTTCTTGTGTTTGTTTGCTCAAATGTTATATTTTCTGCGGACACGTACTTACGTACATTGTGGTAATACACAGATAGGTCAAAATTTCTGTAATGTAAACATTACAAGTGGTAATACACAGATAGGTTAAAATTTCTGCAATGTAAACAATACTTATTAGTATCTATCAAGTAATGTAAGTAGAGAGACGTGTTGTGACAACTGTGATGAGCAAACGTAAGAATATAACGTCAGAACAAATACAACAAAGACAGCAGCTTCGCAAAAATGGGAAATCTTATTGGAAGATTTCTACAAAGCTTGGAATATCTGTTATGGAGCTATATAACATATTAAACGTCATGAAACGCCAGATAATGTTCCTCGTAAAGAAAAACCGTAAAGAAAAACCGACTGTATTTGCTGACGTTGTTCTAGCGTTATTCTTTCGTTTGTTCATCACAGCTGTCACAACACGTCTCTCTACTTACATTACTCGATAGATACTAATAAGTATTGTTTACATTGCAGAAATGTTGACCTATGTGTATATTACCACAGTGTACGTAAGTGCGTGTCCGCAGAAAATATGACACAAACAAACACAAGAAATTTCTTAGTTATTGTAAATTGATAAACAGTGTTCTGCTATCTCATAATATAAACTTGTAAGAAATATAATGGACTTTTGTTTAACTATTTCATGTATAACTACACAACGAATAAAACTTAATTTTCCTAACTGTACGTAAGTATATGTCCGCCACTATATGTACATGGCCTTGTCTTTTAACTAAATAATAATAACTTAATTTGATATTAACTTGATTATTTTAATTAAGTTCATTTTGATTTAAGTAATTTTTAACTTAATTTAGTTAAAAATAAAAATTAACGTATCCAAATCTGATGTGTTCATATTGTATTACATGGTAATAGTGAAATGAAATACCTGTCGGCTATTACACTAAAAATTAAATTGCCAATTAGCACGCCGAACATTGTACAAGACTGCACAACATTCACCAATTGCTCTTTATCGCACACCAAATCCCACTGAAAAAGGAGACAAGGATCATTGCATTTCAATTATTGCAGCTCGCGCTGTTTATCAAATACTATGAAGTTTTTAATTTCGTTCAATCTCAAAAAAAATATTACAGCATAAATTAATAATTATAGTTTAAATTATATCAGGTTATATTATAGTATACGAATTATATATCAGAGAAAAATGTTACGTGTCTGACGGAGACTGACCTGCGTTATGATACTTTCTCGGAATATTCGCTTATCGTATTTAAAGCTAGCGCATTTTTCCACAGTGCCGTTCCCTACGTTCACTTCGCATTTCATAAACGTGGATTCGTTCGTGGCTGATAACGGATCGATGCACGTGAAATTAGTAGGTGGCGCAAGGAACACGATGGAAAGCTGGTGCCAGGCTACGGGGAATTTGACAAGGGAGATTGCTATCACGATCACCAAGTGCCACGGGCCCATGTGGCCCATGGCCTCTTGGATAGCATCTAACGGCACGAGACCTGGAAGAATGCAATATGTCCGGTATAAAGCAGAAACGAATTACGTCTACGCAGAACGGCATAGAATAGCATAATCCAAGAAATTTTCTCTGTAAAAAATACATAATAGCGTCTCTCGTGACATTGTTGTATTATACAAGGTGTCTAACGCAAGCCGTTCCACGCAGCGTATATCTGTAGTTTAGATCAATGCGAACAAAAAAGTCCTATTTTGCGTACAACTACGCAAAATTTCGGATTTTTTCTCAATTATTGAAGTGGCCACGTATAGAGGCATTTCTAATTAATAACTCAAAATTTTGCTTGGTTTTTTGCAAAATGATGGAGAACTTTTTTGTTCACATTGACCTGAACTACAAATATATGACGGATGGGGCGGCTTACGTCAGACATACGTATATAGACACTTGGCGCAAGACGCTACCGTGTTTGATATATATATTGTACTTTATCGCGAAACTCGCGATTGGAACACGAGAAAAGTCATTATCTTACACACGACACTTCTACAGGAAGAAAAAAGTTTAGTTAAATTAACGTGACAATGAATTAATGAACAGTTCGTGGATGATGATAATGAACGAACTAAACGCGTTTTCGTTTTGAAAATTGGAATTTCTAATTTTTGCGAATTCAAAATTCGGTCGTGCGGATCAGGAATTCTGCTTTCTTCAACCAAAATATGTTTGGTTCGTTCATAGTCGCGCTAATTCAACGAATCCTTCTACTCCGTCTCTAAGCAAGATTCATCCATCGCGTCAACTCACACACATCGTATTACTACGAAATGAGCGAAGCGTCACGGGGTGTATAACATTGATAATGTTTCGACAGGATATTAGCCTCTATCGATCGCCCTCGTATTGCGCTCTAATCTGTACCGCAAACTCCGCAAAGCTGATCTAATAATAAGACATTACATCTCCGCGTGAACTACGACTGATGGTAATCCCGATTCCCATTAGACATCGTTCTCGATGCGTTCGAGTAGTTGCCGAATAGATTGAGAAGAGACCACCGATCGGAAAGACGAATGATAAATTGTCGGTCGGACACGTTTATTTGGAAACGTGGAATCTCACCGGACGAAAACGACACACTCATCTCGGACTATGGCTATTAATATCACCGTCAGCTCTAGCTTTCGAGCGTCGCGAAAATGCAATTCAAATTTCCATCGCGGCATCCGCGTCAGAATTATGCGTTCGGACAATTACAATGATCAACAAATTTCGTATCACTGCATCCATTCCGAATTTCAGTCTTTGCTATTTGAGTTCATCTGTTGAAACAGAAAATGAAAGAAAACGGAAAAAAAATTATTTAGCTGTAGGTCAAGGAATATAGGCTATATTTTAATTTTTATAAATTGATAGTATGAAGTGCGAAAGTAAAACAACAGAGAGAGGACATATTTTTACTACAATTTCTTATTTTTAAGTTTCATATTGTCAGAAAAATTATTTCTTTCAAATGTAACATTATTAGCGGTTGTTTAATGATTTCGAAATAACGAATGTTACAACGAAGGAATAGACTTTATCTTCCTACAGAAAATTAAAACACACGTTTTATTCATAAACTCTTACGGGACTGTCATATACACCGTCTCAAAAAAGGCTTTAAGAGATAATTTCGAAGACTCCTTTTCTCCACACCACGAAAGCTTAAAATAATCAAATTTCTTTCCGACCCTTTTTTATTATATAACGAAAATTAAAGCTACGGGTTGATTTTAATTGTCGTATTTACGTTATAGACTATCTAGAACTGGCCGTTTCGACGCAAGATCACAATTTTCATATTGACCGGTGTTATCAGCCCTTCGAAATAACTCGCTGTTTTACGCACATACAATTTGCGACAACAACGCGATTTATCGCGGTAGTGACGTACTTAAAAGTACACGAATGTACGAACCGATATTATTTAACAGGATGCCGGTGTGTGTGATGCAATATTCGGTAAATTACCGGTGTTATTACACCGTGATATATAAGGACATGACGGTGTCGGCCGACGCGCACGTAATCGCATATATCACGGTAATGGTACCATTTCAACGGTATATTCGTAATTGTAACACGGTAAGTGCGCATGCATACCGCGACAATAACTGTCACGTTGGCTTGCACGCGAAGATATAGCGGCGGCGAGTATTACGTAATTTGCATGTGTAGTTTCGAAAATATATAATTTATGTCAAAACGCACACCTCGCGCGATCAATCAAAAGAAGCAGAAGCATATGTTAATTAACAGCCCAAGACGGCAAACATTCTACGGCCTAATGCATGCACAGATGCGACGCAACGTACACAAATAATAACAATTTGTCATTACATATTCCACGGAATCGAGCGCACGTCGTCACACGACTCTTCTTCATGTGTAAAGGACGCATCATATCGTCGGGTGTCGTTCGCGGAAAGGTAGCGAGGTCTTTATCACGTTTCGACAAGATAAGTATAAACCGCGTTTCCGGATCAAAAGGCGCGAGATCACTGAGAATACGCTTGGCCGAATAAAAGCGCACGATGATGCATTTAAGGATGTATTGCCCATTAGTGTCGTGTTTTTAGTGGCGCATTGAGGGAACCATTTATAAATTCAGTATTTATCAAGCAAAATTATGTCCTTATATATTTGTTTTACTGTTTTAGGCTGTCTTCCGATATTCACTGCGAGTATTGAACATCTCTAATATATGTAACATAAACTACAGGTTTTTAGTTTATTGGCAGTAAATTTCGAAACGTAATCTGTATAAGTTTAAAATGAAGTTGAGATAAACGCTAATAAGAAAATATCATTTTTATTTTTATTTTTAATATTATATACATCAGTTGATCTAACAGAGATACACAGATAATAGAAAGAGGAAGAAAAAGAGAAAATGAGAAAGAAATATATAAATGTTTAAATATATGTATTATGTATATACATTTCGACTATTACTATAAGTTATGAGCTTTCTTTCAAAACAAAATGGCCAATAGTTATGAAATATATGTATAAATGTCTGCATATTAGTCTTTAATGTCATAGTAGTTTCTAACTAAAATCTTATTTTTAGTTTAGAAGATATTATATAAAGGTAGAAATTAAAAATAGCTAATCTCAAGGAATACGCGTAAACGGTATGAAGTTTAATTATAGATAATTCAGTTCTCGAAGGATCAATTTTTTTCTGATTACTCGAACAATGATTAATATTCAACGTATACCAGTGCAAGTGTTTAAAGTGGAATAATTTTTTGTCCAGGCTTTGAATTGCTGTTTTTCAGACTTTTAGTGTCACTTTTAAATGCAATACAGGTCAATTTGTAATTTTCTTACGATTTTTTCATTATTTTTTCTTATGGACAATACATCCTTAATATTATCCGTATTTTCTCACGGGAGATATCCTCTTCGCTCGGAAATAACTACTTTCTAGTGGCACATTTATCGCTCGTGCGAGAATCGCGATAGAGTTCATTAGCTCTCGCCTTTTCTGTCTATTCGGAACACGGTGATTATATATAATTGCTTTAGTCATATATAATTCGCACGGTTCAAGGATGCTGACATTTCGTTCCGTCTGGCAAATCAATACGGATCGATGCAATCATCGAATCGCGCGCATGTGAACTATTAAATGCTAATTAACTATTAAATGCTAATTAGCTGAATGCTAATAACGATATAATACGTGAAAAGAAAACTACGAGTAAAATGCAAGGATGTGTTTGTGTCGAGTCTACGGTATCATAAGCGCATCAAGACGGCTGTCTCTGTCTGTGCACACAAGTGCAGAATTATGAACTTGTGAAAATTGCGCTCAACTTTTGCATAGACGCCGGCACGTCTGTCGGTCAAGTACGTGCGTCGTTGATTTGTCGGGACATAATTTCATTCTTTGAAATTCACAATTAATTTTATTCTCTATTTTCTCCCAACTTTATTATGAACATGAATCGAGTCATCGTACATCGTTAAGGCACGTTTTCTTCAGATAAAACATGAAACTAAAGCTACATGAAATTTAAGTTACCCTTAATATCCTCTCGCTCGTGTAACGGGGAAGATCTTGTCTAACGTACAAATATTTTCTCCCTCTTAAACTATAACAAAATCTTCACACCCTATGCATCCATCTGACGCGTTCTAAGCACGCACGGAGCTCGCATACGAGTGACATTATTCCTCATAACATTTGTCAACGATAAAACATGAAACTAAAGCTACATGAAATTTAAGTTACCCTTAATATTCTCTCGCTCGTGTAACGGGGAAGATCTTGTCTAACGTACAAATATTTTCTCCCTCTTAAACTATAACAAAATCTTCACACTCTATGCATCCATCCGACGCGTTCTAAGCACGCACGGAGCTCGCATACGAGTGACATTATTCCTCATAACATTTGTCAACGATAAAAATGTTATTGTGTTGAAGATACACAAGATTTGTATCTTCTTCCCGTAGAAATAAATATAAAAGACATCGCGTCGTATCTCGGCGATCGGAATCTGCATCGTATGCGGAATTGTACTCAAGTAACATTAAGATATCCTAAATACGTCTTTTAGACATATGTGTTGTCTTGGTACCTTCGCGCGGCAGTTTAATGCGATGTTTTAATTTATTAGTGTAATTTGTTCATTGAGGCGAAAAGAAGTATCTGTTACCGCGGATTAAGAAAGCGTGCGATAGCGATAACGGTGACGACGCTGTTAATCAAACATTTTCCCTATTAATGAGGAAAGTTGATAATAAGAGCGCCTCAAATCTCGGGGTCGGCGTATAAGCGTGGTAGCAAGTCGCAACAAAGAGTGACAGCGCTATTTTACCCATCTCGCGCCAATCTTTCTCGATGTCGCGAAGCATGTTCCTCAGTCAACTTTCTCTACTGTTAAGCGTCGATAATGCAGACGAGTATCTGCTGTAAAGTGCATAGAAGAAATTCTGCATTAGCGTACAAGTTGTGTGCTTCTTCGTGGCACACACACGACGATAATTCACTCGAATAAGTGACTTCAGATGATTATTTTTATCGCGAGGTGATAATCACTTCTAGGTAAAACCGGTCAATGTAAGGTCTTTTTCCCGATGCAACAGCGCCATTGGAAGTTTTACATTATACGTACGCGACACGAAGTAACGAAACATTAATTTAATTAAAAAAGTACACCCTGTAAACGGCGGTGCGCCTCTCCGTTGGAAGGGCTCAGCAATTATCGCACGTGAGGAAGGAACAATCGAACTTCTTCGAGCGAATTTGAAATCTTCGACGTGACGATCGATAATGTAATGCTCGAGACACCTTCGATTCGGTTCACAATATGAATAATTTATGAAAAATAATGCACCGTGAAATATGATAACGCGAGCTGATAAGATGTATGATATATGTTTAAGTAAAATTAAAATAACGATGAAAAGCATCAGAGTTTCTTCAATCGACAATTTCATGGTATACAGTCGTCCGAGTGAAATTACACACGTTCGGAGGGAGTAATTAGGCATAATTTGACACGTACAAAGAAACACGATTTACGAAGCGTCGAAAAACACTGGTACTGATGCTGTGTATCTTCGAAAAACACGAGGCGACCATTTATGCGACGATATGTGTTAAAGCCACAGAATCACGTTGTCTGTGGCATCGCAAATTCGCGTGGCAAAACGCGACTTAAATTAAGGTAAATACGCCGACGACAATAATATGACATACGATACGCGTATCATTTTCCATACTCAGCGCGATAAGGTGGAAAAAATGAAAAATAGGACGAGGAAAACCACTTGCTGGTATAGTGAAGGGCGCTCAAATAATTGCGAATGAGATCGTCACACGCGCATATACGCACATACACCTACGCATTCACACACATACACAGCCCGTCTCTTGTGAAAAACTATGCGTTCGGCGAACGAGAAAATTGCCACGGTCTGTGTGGCCCGATGATGAAATTTAAGTCACGCTTTTCCCTGCTGGCTCGCCGAAAAGTAGTATATTTAGCCGTTCTCAGTCGAATTTCGCGAGACGCAACGAATAATTCGCACAGGGTCGGTCGAGTCACACACACACAGAATTTGACTTACCTTTCATCGTTCGAAGCCGGTCAAGACTCTTTATCTACGCTTACACCGTCTCCCGGCTGTAAGGCAAATTTATTTTCGTTCGGGCGCGATACGATATGTATTCCCCGTCGTCGTATACTACCGTCGTGCGTCGAGAGCGCGAGAGACTGAAGCAAACTAAAAACAGAACTCAAGTTTCCCACCATTCTGCCTTATCGACGCGGAAGGATGAGCGGATGCGGAGCACGCGCCCTCGTTCGCGAGCATAACACCTTTTCACCGTCGCACAAATTTACGCCGATCATTATCTACTTATCGCATAAATACCTCTTGTCGTCTCAATAACGAATGATTTGTCGCAATGCTCTCGAAGACTTCCGCAACGCTATACTTAGAAACAATGGAGCCGCATTTTTAACATGGGCACGCTCGACCGTTACTCGCTCGTTCGCGGATTCTCTTACACAACGTGACACAAATATAAATAAATACAATGAGCGTAGACGAAAAAGAAAGGAAACATCTCCCTCTTTCTCTATTCAATCTCGTTTAATTAGCGTGAGAATAAAAAACGCGATGGATAAAACTTGTTGCGTGTATTAAAAAAACGATTGTTAAGCCAGCGTGTTAAAATGAGATTTGCACTTAGGATAAAATTTACTTGTCGTACGCGAATTCGCTGAGGATGCTGCTGGTGGAACGTTTCGTTTTGACATCCTGCTCGTCCCCCGAATTCGACAATTTCCGTTTCTTGCTCTCTTCTCTCGTCGTCGTTGTTGTCGAGCATGCTACGGCGTCTGACTGCTTCGTCGTGGTCTGCTCTTTAAATCGCGTCAGGCCGATCTTGGTCAATTCGGCGACACTCAGTTCGGGAAATTCTTCTTGCAGATTCTTCTTGTTTTTGGCGTACCAGTTAACGAACGATTCTTTCTTCGGGCAGGACTTCGGCTTGGCAGGCGCGGGCTTCGTTAACGCGGCCTTCTGGGGCTTCTCCGGTAAACTGTTCAAGCCAGCCAAACCTGCCGATATGGGAAAATGAGCAACATTCTTAACGATGAACTAGCATTTATAAAAAAAAAAAAAAAAAAAATTAAACATTGTTAAAAGCTTGGGCAATGTTAAAGGATTGGGTAAGTTAATTTTTATTTGTAACCAAATTAAAATCTGCAATTCGGGCTCTCGTTTACGCTTTTGTTAAGTAAAATCACCTGATCACATGCTGTTGATTATATTATGTTGATTATTTCACCAATTATTGCCATAGTAGTATCACCCACCTCTCACCGACGGGGACGAGTTCTCCGATTTTAAAAATGGGTTTATCCTCCTCAAGGTCTGGCTCATCGCTAACGGCTTGATTTCCACTTCCGGTTTCTTAATAGCTGGTAAGGGCACATCGTCTATCTCTTCGTCGTGAGTATTATTGGAGTCGTCATTGTTCGTGAAATTGTCCCGATGATTCTCCGTGTTCTCCTTCTCTTTCTTCTCCTCCTTCGTGTCGGCGATCGATTCCAATTTGCTCGCCAACGCTCTTTTGTTGATGCGCCTGGCGTACTTGATAGCCATGTCTATCGCTTCTACGGACGCGATTTGCTCGCAGATATCCACCGCGCGATATTCCAAATTGTTTCGGCAGGCGTGCTAATCGTGAGGACAAATCAATATACTCGATATGCATTCTATGAAAAATTGTAAAAAATGTCAAAGTGGGAATGAGGAGCAACCCAGGATCGCTTCTTACCGCTATCAGGATTAATATCGCCTCGGTCTCGTTCAACGGACTGCTGCCTATCTGCCACAATTTACGCTCTTTCTCGGTTCTCTCAGATTCCGGCTCGCAGAGAGGCATGGAGAGCGGCACCTCGGTGACTATTGGACGCGGTGTCGTGGATGGATAGAAGCCGCCTTTGCAGAGGATGCAACGCATAATCTGCTCCCGCTCGCTCACGCCGATCACGAAGTAGTGATTTGACTTGCCCTTGCTCTAAAAATCCGGATTACAAAGTAACAAATTGGATATTTTAGGCTTTCACGGTGTGGACAAATATTTAGACTCTCGAATTAGTGCCGCATCCTTCATCAACATGTTTAGTTAAATCCGAAAAAAAATTCCAGATAAAATGAAAGAATTTTTAAGCATATTTTGCAAATGAATGCATACTTATTATGCAAACGCCTTAATATTTTCCGTTCATAAAAGTTCATGAATAATAAGATAAAATTAAGAATTACTCGAGTTTCGATGGTTAAATTAGAAAATTTGCGGAAGAAACTAAAGATTCGCGTAGAACTCACCATTATATTCGTATCGCACACCACCCTCCACAAGCAAGATCTCTTGTCGTATATTCTGACAACGTCATCGGCATCCACGGTAGTGGGGGAGCCAACGTCGGAAGTGAATCCCAGCCACATGAGGTCCGAACTGGGCGACAAGGGCGCTGCGAGAGTCTGGCTTCGCAAGAACGCACCCTGCACCTGTATCCACAGTAGATTCATGTGCTGATCGCCGTTCGTACCTGTTCGCCGAGAAATTCATAATTGGATGCTGCAAGCCGTCGACTTCTCGTCGTGTCGCGACGCACTCACCAACTGCAGCATGGTAAGCTATCAGAAGGTGATTCCTCAGGCCGTTCATCGCAACCACGTGCCCGGGCAAGCCTAAGACCTCACGTTGAGTGCCTCCTATCATGAATATCCTTAAGTTTCTCTTGGATGTGGCAACCGCTACGAAGTTGTCGCCAACCGCTATACACTTCACTTGTTCGTCCTCCGGCATGTCCACCGACCACTCCTTATTCCCGGTACCCCAACCTGACACGCGGAGAAACGACTGAATTTGTTAAATGTGATCTCACTTTACGTACAAGGAAAATTCAACTGTCTCTTGTATTAAATAGATCAACCTTGCAGAGCTAACACGACTATTTTACTAGGGCCATCCTCCGAAGCTTGGCAGCTCATTGCGAGTGCTTGAGTCGACAAGGCAGCCATAGCATGCTTCAAATAATTATTGATATGCATGCTACAATGTACCGCAGCGTCGTGAAACTCTACCTCGATGCTGCTATCGTTCTCGTTATCCAGTGGGAAAGTCCGGACCATTCCCACATCGTTCCACACCTGCGAACATCGTCCAGGAACTTAGTTGAGATGTTGAAAAGGAAGTTTGCAAGCGAAGTAGAAATGTCATTGTTACACCGCACCATGTAATACGATAACAAATGAGAAGGTGTTGATCCCGGCTGGAAACACGGTTGCAGATCGGCCATAAATTTCGCGTTGCTCGGAGGTGCGTCCAAGCTCCCGTCGTCGGAATCCTCCTTTTCATCATCCTGCAATTTGGCGGAAGCCTTAATTTTATCCAGCGATATTACATTTTCCCCATCATCGTCTACTTTGTCGTCTGCCACCCAATCTTCCGTTACATGCTCGTTTCTCTCCGAGTCCGGAATCGCTTCAAGCTCGGATTTATCAGGGCTTATCTGGGAAGATTCAAGGTCAGGATCTCTCCATACGAGTCACTGAGAATTTGATAGATACGGAACGTGTTTCCTCACCACATCGATGCATCCTAATTTCCCAAGTGCATCGCAAAACGCGATTTCATTGGAGTGATCTATGTGCCAAACCAACGCGGTGATCTTGGTATTCTGCTCGTGTTCCAGATATCCGATCACATTCTTAGTTTCTACATCCCAGACGACCAGTTCTCCGTACAACGAACTAGCGGCTACACGTGTGCCACATTCGGAAAATTTACAAATGCTGAGTTCCTGCAAAAACAAGGGAGAGAAAGATGATATACACGGTCGATAGTTACCACGGCAAGATGAAACTGTGTATTGGTAGCTCACGGATTTTAAATTAGAAGATTTCAGTCTGTACAATTCTCTCCAGGATGATCTCTCTACTACCACTACCTCTTTATTTAATGGGTATGCGAGGCAGCTACCATCCGTACATTTAAAGGATGGCGTGCAATATGACTTCGCAGTGAAAAAGGAGTTAGATTTCGGCAAAATATTACTCCAAATTTGTACAGCTCGCTTTTCCTTAATGTTCCATACTCGAATGGATCCATCTGCACTAGAAGATGCCTGAAATAATATGTTTCAAGCAACTCAAAATATACTATGATCTTATATAATTTACAATCATTAAATTAATAATTATATAAAACAAGTTATTAAAACATCAAAAAATTATTGCAGATATGAGACATATGATACCTACCAGAAATTCTTCTTTTGGATCTAAAGATAAGCCCAAGATAGGTGCTTCGTGACCCTCTAATTCTGTACTATCTAGTGTATTGATATTTGTGACTTGTATCCGCATATCGCTTGAAAGAAAATCCAGTTACCACTTAATTTCTCATTGTGTAAGTAACATTAAATATTAGATATTATATATATCACATACCAGGATCCAGATACTATCAAATTACTATCCTTTGCTGTGGTCAATGCTGAGACTGGTGCCGAAAATCTAGTGACTATTCCTTCCTTCTCCAAATCAGGATAAGTAAGTATCTGTACCGTATTATTATCGTTCCCTACATAGATCTTGCCATCCTAAGAGATTAAACATTCACAAAATATAAGATTACTCATTCAGTCCCAAGATTTCTTTTTACATAATTTGTAATATTCCTTTTAAAGAATTTGAACTTCTTGCCGCAATAACTCATACTATGAATGTTTCACATTAATTATTAATTACTTACCTTTGAAATGGCTGTAATTGCTTGTTCAGAGATGCAGCTAGTGGTTGGATCATCGTCTATTATACTCAACCAGGATCTGACATCTCCATCACACCCACAAGTGATAAGTCCTCTCCTATAACCACAAATATTACGATAACGGCTTTGCTGGGACATTACACAAATAGTAAATAATGTATCATGCTTGTTATTTACTTTTTGCCAGAATAATAACAAACGTCGGTGTGTCCTTCCTGATGAGCATATCGCATGGGATTTTTTACCAGCGACATGTTAGTTAACTAAAATGCAAACTATCAAATATTACAGTAACGTATTTGCGATTTTGTTACTTATCTGTCACACGACCATTCTATTCATGCCAATACAAGGCATTTTGGCGCCGACTGCAAATACCTACAACCCAGCTTTACGTCTTCTATAGTTCTTCAAACTGATTTTATCCGTACGGATGTCGTGTTGCTTTGTATCGCGAGAGATGTTCTCACATTTCCTGTTATTTTTTATTGACTCCTGCACACAGGACGTGGTAACGCTTGTCGTGCGACGAAAGTTCGCACGTAACCAATCAACTGCTTTTACACAATAGCTATACGTTCATTAGATATCACCTTAAAGCATATACTACTGGAGGTAGCACGTCTCGATAAAAGTGTGGCAGGGTGCGAGAGAGAAAGGTAGATTAGAGGTGACAGCTATCTCTCTCTTACTGAACGCTCATTGGTTGTTTGCTTAGAAGGAGAAAGGCCTATACGAAAGTTCAATTGCTGCCCAACTCGTCAGCTCGTCTGCTAGTCTGTATCATTTTGGCGCGTTTATTATATTTGAACATTTAAGTATGTGTAAATAGTGCTGTTTGGTTGAAATTATTACAATGTCAAAAATTTGTTACATCCCAAATTGTCGTATGAGACAAGACGATCCTGACTGTTTGGATTTATGTTTTCATAAGTAAGTCTATTAAAAATAAAGTTGTGTAGGTTAAGTGAACTTTTTCGTTTTCAGTTTTGGTATCAATAATTTTTATAATTTTTTTTCTTTAGATTTCCATCAGATGAAGTTATTAACAATAAATGGTGTGATGCAATAAAAGATAACTTTGAAGATTGGGCTTTGAAGAAAAGTTCATATGTTTGTAGTTTGCATTTTTCAGTAGAATGCTATC